GACGAGGACCACCAGGAGAAGTGCCTCTCCCAGCTGCACGACCACTTGCCGGAGGGGCTGACGCCCTTGGCCACGCTGAAAAACAGTCACCAGCGCCAGCAGCTGGGTGCGTGTCTGCTCTCCTGCGTCTGCCCTCCCCGCGCCCCACTGGTTCCCAGCTGGTCCTGCTCAGGAACAACCCAGACGGGCCCAGGGCAGGGCTCGGAAGCACTGGGCGCTCTGAGTCACCGCGGCCATTCCAGATTCGGAAGCCCCGAGGCGTAGTCCTGGAGCCCCAGTGGGTGTCCAGAGCTGGCAGGGCAGTTGTGTGAGGGCCCAGCCTCCCACAGTGGAGGCTTTGGATCTTCCGGCACCCAGCGGTCCCGGGATCGCCTTCGGCCCCCTAACGTGGAAAGACACGTCGTTCATTTTCTCAGGGCGCAAGAACGACTGGCCATGCATTGCCCTGCGTTGGTCTCTTGCCAAGTCTCAGGGTGAATCTCTCCATCTACAAAGCCGAATTCCTCCACTGCACTCCCAGCCCCGCCCCTCCCCCCGTGATCCCATTCCCCACTCCACCCCCATAAAATGTCTCTGGTAAATAGTTGTTTTTTTTTTTTTTAGCCCTTTCTTTTTTAATAATAGTTTATTTTTACATCATTTTGTGCCTTTTTCCATCTCAGTTGTAATCCCTGTGGTCTTCCTGTCAAAATCACCCGTGTGCCATCACCATAGTCCAGTGCACTCCCAGCCCCGCCCCTTCATTTGTGATCCCATTCCCCACTCCACCCCCATAAAATGTCTCTGGTAAATAGTTGTTCTTACTATTATTACCATTTTCTCCCTGGTTCTTCATACCCCTTCTATGAATTAAACCATCCAGTATTTTTCCCTTTTTTTCTGGCTTATTTCACTAAGCATGATCCCTTCCAGCTCCATCCATGTTGCTGCAAAAGGCATGTGTAAAACATTACATTTTAATTTAACCTGTGGCTTGTGAGGTGTAAAAAGACAGGATATAAAACATTTGTCTCAGTTGAATTAGCTAGTATTTTTTCGTTCCTTTTGTGTGCTCATAATTACTGGAGAGCAATTTCTGTAGATTCCAGCCACCTCTGTAATTTAATTTCTAGATTTGTTGGTTTTGTTTTTCACAATAATCATGTTTGCTCAGATTTCCATGTTAAGTTGGTCAGCACTGTGCAGATAAGTTCTGGGTGAAAGGAATTAACGTTTTTAAAAAACACTATGTCAATGGCATATTAAGTCCTAGTTTTTAATGTTTGATTTATATGAAAAAAATATTTAATGACTTAAATTTTAGTCTTCTCTGCCTTGAGTATTTGAAACAAATAGTGTGCACGCCCTTGAATAGGTTCAGTGGCACCAACGACTTGGAAAAGTTAATAGTAGTAATTGCTCAATAACATTTTCTGTTTTAAAGCACGCTGAGTTGTGACTTTATATAGGGGCCTGACAGACTTTAGAATCAAACTTAAGGAAAATACTTTTACAAGGAAAAGGCTTATGGCATTTGTAATCTTTGGCATATGCCTTCTCACCTTTTATATATACAGTATTTTACATTACAGGCATTCCTAGTCCTATTTGTGGAATAACACATAGAATTATATTATGTTGAGAGTTGGCAGATAAGGCCATCTTTATTATTTTAAATGAAATATTAATGTGGGTTTAGCTAAAGGCATGGCATATACCACCTTTCACAGATTTGTGGCCTAAGGAGAAACTTTCATTTGATCCACCACTAGGGTATATTTACTTTATGTGATATAAAGTATTTGTATATCCAAAAATTTCCCTTTTTGTTTTCTTATTTTGTGTACTGATATAGAAATTTTAGGTTTGAAATTGGGTTATTTACAGAGTTAGCAATCAGCCTTGTCGTTCAAGGTACAAACCTTTGCAGTTCTTCAGAATCCAGAGGGCTTGTAGCTTTCTTGAATGTTCAGATCTGTTAACAGGAAATAACTTAAAGATGCGCAACAAAAAGTATTAGCAATTGTAAATGTTAATTAAATAATAAAATTGGCTACTGTGTGCTAGGTGTTATCTGTTCAAACATCATTCAGAGTTCAGTTCACATTCCAGATCTCCCACTTGTTCAGATGACCTTGAACAATGAATATTACCAATTGGATGCTTTCCAGATGTTCCCATCTGGAAAATAGAAATATTCTAATAACTACTTAGTTAGATTCAAGATTATGTTAGGTTCCATTTCTGAAGGTGTTTGTTGCTCAGCATTTGACACCTATCACATGAGAGTTATGAATTGCCAGAGTAATTTACTGTTGCAGTAATATATTTTTCAGAATTAGAAGAGGTAAGTTTGTTGAAGTGATATATATATATACACACATACACACACATATACACACACATACATATATGTCTTTTCAAATTTTATTATATAGCAATAGTATTCAGATTTCCTAATTAAATGTGTAACTTTTGACTGCATTTTTTTTCACCTGTAAATCAGAGGTGTTAGTATCTGCCTCAAAGAATTTTTTGGATTTAAAAGTTAACACATGTTAGGCACTTAAAATGCAACTTGATACCCAATAAATAGTAGAGCTGGTGAGTGATATGAAATAAATTTGGTTTACAACAATGTATATGTTTTAGCAGTACAGATACACATTCTGCAAGTATATTAATATCATACCATGGCCACCAGCAAAATACTAATACCCTTCCATTACAGTCTATTAACCACCACCTCTGTTGACCCTCTGCTGCCCTCAGTCAGTTCTTTGTTCAGAATTCAGGATTAGAACTGTTGGTTCTGATTGAAAAAGACATTAGAATATTAAAGTTCTATACAGAAACAAGAAGTGTTAGGCACATAGTAGGTTCTTGGTATTTTTGTTTCAGTCATGATTTACTTGAAGGGAAAAAGCTCTTGGAGGCAGAAATCAATATAATTAAATGGACTCCCTGATGGAAATTGCTAACAATTTGATAACAGTTTTTCTAGAAATTTTTCTTAGGACTAAAAATCAAAATAGCTTGTTTTGAACCCTTCTATTTGACTTATGTCAACTTATTGGTGTTTTAAGATTTCTCTGTGGGGCTATCGTTTTTTGGTAAAAATTCAAGGGAGCTGATTTCCAGTTTTGATTTGATAAGCTTTTGTTTGTTTTGATGAAAAGTATACTTAAAAACACGCTATTTTACCACCCCAAATACCACTGATTAATTATTAATTCAACCTAACATCTGTGGAGTGCCTGATCCTTTGTCACACTTTGTCACCTAAGATACAAATTAAAATATAGAACTCAGATCCCTTATCCCTGGGTGGGATAAGGTTTTTTTTTCATAGGGGCAAATTTTTGAAGGTTTAGAAACAAGTCAGATACAGGGACAATTACTTACAGCATTCACCATGTAGAGAAGAAAAACTTGTTTCTTGGAACTCTCAGGCAGGTATGGTTATGTTGGTAGTAAAATTTGGACATTGTTCTGGTGGGAAGGATTATAAATATTGTAATTGATTTCCTTTTATTTAAAATATTTGTTACACTAAGTGGAGTTTTTCCTCCACAAAGTGTCCATGCTTTTTGGAAAGTTCAAGCAGATTCTTCTCCCCAAGTCAGTTTAATTTAAAAGTTTTTTCTCTAAAGTATTCCAGACTTTGATATATAGAACGCTTAGACTACCTAGGCATCTATTTTGGTGACACTTTGGAGTTGCTTCAGCATTTGAGAGTGATGTTCCTAATCAGTGTGATATGTATATTAAAGTCTTCTGAAAATGCTCTCCGTTTTCACAGCTGTTTTGTTCATTAAAGAGTTCTCTTGAAATTGACATAATTGTTACTAGCAGCTATCTTTTTTTCAAAAAAATCTACAGTATTTTAATGGCTTCAAATTTTATTTGATAAACAACTTATAATGCATGGTCAAATAATGCCTGTTTTGGCTTTTTGTCCTCTTCAACATCATTGGAAAGTTAGGGGTCCATACCATTTCAATTTCTAGGATGCAGTGTTGACTTTTCTGCCATAAGTAATAATGTAGGGCCTAAATTGGCTGTGATATACATGGCCTTGTTTAAACAGCTACATATTCTGTATTTTGCTGCTTTTTGAGATTACTGGGGCATTAGTAAGGCTCTTTGCCACGACCCTAAAAGGTAGCCATGTTTTTCCTCTCTTCTGTTTAATCCTGGGAATTTATATTTATTTTAACTGTATACTTTAGGTAAAGTCTTTAAACTTTTCTCGATTATATTTAAGATTATGTATGGAAAGAGGCCAGCTATATATTGTATTTTACAATTACCTGGATGAAAATATTTAGCCAGAAATGGACTGTTTTTAACAGTAACATTTTTAAAAGTTATTTGTCTGCAAAGTTTGTATAATTGAACTTAGAAAGCATCTTCAAAGATAAATTACTTTTAATCAAATTGCTGAGCCCTGATGTGACAATAAATCAACATGACAATGAATTGGCATCTTTATTATATAAAGTATTATTTGTATGGTAAATGAAAATCTGTTAAATGACATGGAAATAACTGGACTTTGTTTACAGAAAGCCACAAAGAAAACTGATAAACCCAGGCTTGAGGATAAAGATGATCTAGATGTAACAGAGCTTACTAATGAAGATCTTCTGGATCAGCTTGTGAAATATGGGGTGAATCCTGGTCCTATTGTAGGTAAGTTGATAAAATTGGAAGTGTCAGTCCACTGAAGTGTTTCCTCTTCTTGTTGAGCATTTTGAGTTTGGGTTCTGAGGGCCAGTCTGTTAGCAATTGTTTATAGGGCCAGATCCTTAGTTTCCTTAACTGTGAATGAGGGAAATAAAATCATAGAATGAAACTAAATAGACAGCAAAATTATCTGTTGAGATTGCTTCATATGGTGCTCATTTCACACCACCTGGTGGAGATAAGTGGTTATTATATGACATTTGAGGAAAATCTAAGATGCATTGCTGGCAGATTCACCCAAATCAGTATTTAGTGACAGATTTGTTAATAATTGAAGCTATTGAACTCTAGTATAGTGTTCATTTTTCGGTTATTAAAAGTAAACTTTCAGCCCTCCCTGGTGGCGCAGTGGATTAAAATGCAGCGCTGCAAGTGAGCCACAGCTGCTTCAGTGTGAGTTCTGTCCCCAGCCCCGGAGGTGATCCACAGGGCACAGCAGGCCTCTCCTGACTGCCCGCTGCTCCCCTCAGCTGTGTACTTTGTCACTCTGCCTGTTCTGCTCCCCACTCTGTCCCTGGTGAATCCTCTCACCACCCCTGTACCTCTGGCCTATATGCATAAATAAGTTTATATACATACATACATATATATATACATACACACACACATATATAAATAAATGAAGTAAACTCTCAAAAGACCTACTGACTGGAATTTAACAATAATGTGTTCCCCACCCCCAACCTCCCAAAAAAGAACTGCAAAGAAAACTTGGAGCTGAAGTAACTGGCTTTCCATCATTTGATTTTTCAGCACTGTTTATGACTTTTTTTAAAAATTTTTGGATGGTCTTGACATAATCTATAATGAGGAAAGGTCTTTTCCCTATGTTGTGTAAAATTTTAAACATTGGAGATTTAAGGGATCCCCCCATGGTGTGATTGCAAACAAGGATTTAGAATGTTGGCTTTCTTTTTAAATTTTAATATACTGCTTCCAAGTTGGAGCTCATAAGCTCACTAATGTTAGTACCAACAGGCATTTCATAACCATTTTACATTTTTCATTCAAATTGCAGAAGGAAGACACAGAAGATGTGTATTATGTGTTTATGTATCATGTATGTGAAATGATATGTTGGTATACCAGCTGTTCATTGTCCCCTCCAAACTTTACTGAAGTTTAATTTACAACAGTCTATAGTTTGATGTTTTGAGATATGTTGTGAAATATCAGCACTGTCAAGCCGTTTAACATATCCCACCATCAGGTGTAGTGAAAACACATAAGATAGCACTTAGCAGATTCCAGGTCTGTTGTATGTTATTGTTAACTATAACTTCATGCTGTACAGTTGATCCCCAGAACTTACTCATCTTGTATACTCAAATTTTGTACCCTTGGATCAATGTTACCCACTCAGTAGCTGTTCATCTTAAAGATTGTTTATATGACATTTTAAGATATGTTTTGTTTCTAAGAGGTATGTTCACTTTTTTCACTTTACAGAAGTCAGAAAGATACATAGCTAGCTTGAACAGAAGATAAAAATAATTTTAGTTTTAAATTAGTGTTGAAATTCAGGTGTTAGGAATTTATTAATCATATTTTACTTTGCATTCTAATTAGTTTATAATTCCTGTATGTGACACACTTTCCATCAAGGGTTTTTTTTTTTTTTTTTTTAAGGCTTATTTTTGCATACAGAACTGGGGTACAGGCCAGAGGTGCAGGGACGGTGAGAGGATTCACCAGAGACAGATTGGGGAGCAGAACAGGCCGGTTGAAGAAGTACACTGCTGAGGGGAGCAGCAGGCGGGTCAGGATCCATATGCATCGCCATGTGGGTCACCTCCAGGGTGGGGGTTGAACTCTTGCTGAAGTGGCTTTAGCTTCCCAGTGCTGTGCCTTATCCCCCTGTGCCACCAGGGAGGGCCAAAGGGTTGTTTTTTAACTGCAGAGTAGTTAATACTTAAATGTTATAGGACTTTCCCTTAACTAGATATGTATAGACATACTATGTAGAGTTTTACTTGCTATTAAAAATTATTTTTCTACAAAGAGTGGGTTCTGTTACATAATAACGGAGAAGACAATAAAGGTTCAAAACTTAAGTCAAAGATATTCAGTTGGGGGGTTTCCCAGGTGGTGCAAGGGGTTAAATCACAGCTCTATGAAGCTCTCCCCAGCCACTGCAGCACCAGTTTGATCACCTGCCAGGGAGGTGACCCACATGGCACAGTAGACATCTCCTGTCTCGCACCCCTCACCCACCCAGCAGTGTATTTCAGTTATTCTACTTGTGATATTCCCCACTCTGTTTCAGGTGAATCTTCTCACTCCCCTGCACCTATGGCCTCTACCCCATTTGTTGACATAAATAGACCTTAAAAAAAAAAAAAGATACTCAATTGGCTCTTTTCTAGCTTATCTATTTAAATACCTATATCAATCTAAACACTGTGATCACTTGTAAAAATGCCAGAAAAACTGCCTAGTTTAGAAAATAACCCATTGTGTAGTATTTTTAATCACTTAAGTATAGCAGAGCAAAGTAAAATTTTAATGTTGCTTAAGTTAATACTGAGCTGGATCTTAAATAAGATAGTGTAAGTACTGAAGCAAGTTCTGTTTTAATACAGGAACAACTAGGAAGCTCTATGAGAAAAAGCTGTTGAAACTGAGGGAACAAGGAACAGAATCAAGATCATCTACACCTTTGCCAACCATTTCTTCTTCAGCAGAAAATACAAGACAGAATGGAAGTAATGACTCTGACCGATACAGTGACAATGAAGAAGGTAAAATTTTAAATGAGGTTGATCAAAACTGCGTAGTTTTTCAGATTCATAAGATAATAGTAACCATGAAGAAAGTAAAGTTTTAAATAATAGTGAGATATTATTTACATGATAACAGTATTCTTCCAAGAAATTTAACTTAAATATCTTTTGTTGAGAATTCTAAGAAATAAAAAGTATAAATGTCTTAAATTTCTGTCACCTAGAATTGCCAGTAGCTTTACTTTTTTCCTTTAAATCCTTCAAATCTCATTTTTCTAACACAAATATTACAAATAGCTCCCCACTTTACCCCTTTCCAAGTACAACTATTATCCTTAATAAGATGCTTACATCTTAGGTTTTAAAATGTTTCATATGCTTATAGTACATCTTACTATTTTGTGCTTTAAAAACATATAAGCAATATCATGCTAAAACCTTGTCACTTTACTCTCTCTGGTATATTTTTGAGCTTTCATCTTACTGATATATATGTTTTATTATTCCTCATACTTAATATATAGTGGCACTATTTGCATATGGCATGCAGTCTGTGTTTTCTACTGCTAGGCATTTAAATTTAAATTTTTGCTAGATAATCTGATTTCCAGACAAGTTTAAATCAAATATTTTGACGTATTTTAGTAGATTATTTTAAGAATACTTTACAACTTTTAAATATTTTCATGACTACTACATGAAATAGTGACCTTTTAAATTATAGCAACAGTGGGACATGTGTAAAGTTTTAATTTGTGTGACATGTTTATCATTTCACTTGATTATTTAATTTGACTCATGGTTTATATGTCCATAAGCATTGCCTGCCAGGGCACAATCTGTCAAATTAGTTATTCAGAATATAAAATGCATAGTCTTTTTCTTTCAACAGCACTATGTTAGCAAAGAGGCAAAGAATAAAACCAACTTAAACACAAGTAATGCTTAAACTTCCTGCCTCTTTTGCCTCTACAGGAAAGAAGAAAGAACACAAGAAAGTGAAGTCCACTAGGGATTTTGTTCCTTTTTCTGAACTTCCAACTACTCCCTCTGGTGGATTTTTTCAGGGTATTTCTTTTCCTGAAATCTCCACACGTCCTCCTTTGGGCAGGACTGAAGGACAGGCAGCTAAGAAAGTGTACACTTCTAAGGGAGATTCATCTAGGGAACCTCTTACTGCCACAACCTTGCCTGGCAAGGAACAGTTACAGACGTTAGCCTCTGGAGGGAATTTGTTTCTTTCCTCCAAGTCTAGCTTTGATAGTTATTTAGAGAAAAACTCTTCGACATCATCTCAGAATGAACTCGCTGCCATGTTGGTCTCTGCTGCAGCTTCTCCACTGATAAAAGAAACCACCAATACTTGTTATAAAGATATATTAGGAAATATTTATGGTGGAGAGAGAAGTGGAAGTCAGCCATTTAGTTCTGAGAAGTCTCATGTATCAGATCAGTCAATTCTCTCCAGTGAAAGAAAAACACTAGAAGAGAGATCACAAGTAATTTCTCCACCACTTGCTCAGGCAATCAGAGATTATGTCAATTCTCTGCTGGTCCAGGGTGGGGTAGGTAGTTTGCCTGGAACTTCTAACTCTTCACCCCCACTGGACTTAGAAAACACTCAGAAGAGAATTGCTAAATCTAATTTCCAAGAAACTGAATCCCTGTCTCCTCCACGGAAATTCCTTAGGCTCAGTGAGAAGTCAGTTGAGGAGCAGGATTCAGGTTCCTTTGTGGATTTGCAAAATATACCTGGATCTGAACTGATGGCCCCTTTTGCCAAAACTGTTGTCTCTCGCTCACTCTCTACATTAGGCATAGAAGTGCCTAAACAATCACAGCATAAAACAGGTGGCCCAGAACTATCTTTTCCATTCCATGAATCTATTTTAAAAGTAATTGAAGAGGAATGGCAGCAAATTGACAGGCAGCTGCCTTCATTGGCACACAAGTATCCGGTTTCTTCCACAGAGGCAGCACGTATATTATCAGTTCCAAAAGTAGATGATGAAATCCTGGGGCTTATTTCTGAAGCCACTCCACCAGCAGGTATTCAGGCAGCTTCCACTGTGTCTTCTGATAAACATTTGGACTTAGCACTTTGTAGAACATATGAAGCTGCAGCATCAGCATTGCAGGCTGCAACCCACACTGCCTTTGTTGTTCGGGCAGTGCAGGCAGACATTAGTCAGGCCGCACAGATTCTTCGTTCAGATCCTAGTCGCACGCAGCAGGCACTTGAGATTTTGAGCAAAACGTATGATGCGGCCTCGTTTCTTTGTGATGCAGCGTTTGATGAAATAAAGCTGGCTGCCCATACCATGGGATGTTCTACTGTGGGTCGCCGATATCTGTGGCTGAAAGACTGCAGAATTAGTCCAGCTTCTAAGAATAAGCTGGCTGTTACTCCCTTTAAAGGTGGGACTTTATTTGGAGGCGAAGTACACAAAATTATTAAAAAGCGTGCAAGTAAACACCAGTAAAGTTTTAAGAAACGCTATTAATAAAGATATATTTTATCTTTAGGAAATTTAGAAGCGTTTGAAGGAATTGTAGGTACTCTTAGGCCAAAATCTTTTCTTAAGGTGCTTTTCATTTCCAGATTGGGCTAATTTCAGTTTAAGCTTCTGTGGATCAAATTGCAGTATAAAAGTAATTGTCTACATTAAACTTTTTTTTCTTGAAGTTCCATAACTAAAACGCCTGATAAAATCTAAAACTTTCTAGGTCACATTTTTATCTCAACTAGTACACTCTGGTTTACTAGAATTTTTATATATATAAAAATATTTTAACATGTTTCATATTTTTTTATTTTCTGGAATCTTTACAGTTTTCTTATTTTCTCAATTTTGTTCATCATGTTCTAGATTTGTATGGCTCAGTGTGCCAACTTACAGCTAGTGACCTACTGACAGGCATGCGCCAGAATTTAAATCTAGAGATAACTTTAAGATCAGCTACAGAATTTGTTTTTGTGATAAATTTTAATGATAGAGAAAACTGTGCTGATTCACATTCTATTGCAAAAGCCTCATTTTTTCATGGACTCATAGCAAACTGTTCTGGACCACATTGAGAAACACTGCTCTAGCTGGTGATCTGGAACAGTGCATGCTCACTATTCCTGTGATTGTCAAATGATTTTAAAATACATTTAAGGGTATGTTGTAGTTGTGAATAATTAGTCTACACTTAACAATTTGAACTCTAAAAACAAGTTACTTAAGGTGTTTGGTGGTTTTTTTTTTTAAGTCATAGGAAATGCCAGTGTCTGTCCTTGTAAAGCAATACGTTGTCCTGTTTTCGTTTTTATGATTATATGATGAGAGTCTTAACTGTAGAGGCATTTAATAATCCAATTTTGTGTTTTTATGGAAAATAGTTCCTTGGGTACTTCTAGCTATTATAGTCTTAAACTATACATGTCCATCTTTGCAGCTTTCTGGGAGTAATTCTGTTGTCTTCTGAAATGTACATGTATACATGTACCTACAACGTACTCTGTGTTTTTTTTTTATGTATTATTGTAGTGTGCTTCTGCAAATTCAATAAAGTTTAATTTGAACAGTTTTGTGTGGTCTCCAGAAACATGTTGTGTGTTTTATTCTTTGGAGTTGAAACAATTTAGATATATGTGAATGAACATCCCTTTTCCATTTCATCAACGAAACTCATTTGGTATTCCAATGGTATAGTTGAAAAAAATTTTTTTATGGTTTTCTATTTGAGGATCATGTTTTTATTTGGCTGTTGGAATTTAAATTTGTAAGTAGAATTACTCTAACCAGATAGTTACTGCCTAGCCACTATTAGGATCTTTTATGCTTTCTAATTTTTACATTCTGAGTTAATGCCTTGAATTTTAAAATGCTAAGGATTGTCACAGACAAATATACTATAAGAGATATTAATAAGAAGTATTGGGAGGTGGGGGATGGATTTGATGCCTTAATCCTAAATAAAAATTGAACTATTTGAACTAACTTGGTAAGAATCACTATTTTTTTTGAAACTTGGAAATAGGCTCACAGTTGACTAGTAACTGCCAGATACATATATAGTTAGTCAGATACATATATTTTACCTATCTAAATCACTTTTTAGCACAACTTAACACATACATTGAGTTCATGCAAAACTGAGCTTTTAAGGATTATTTCTGGTAAGAAATTAACTTATTAAATTTTGGTGATAGAAGTTTTAGAAGTAACAACTAGAAGGCATTTTGCTATATTATGATACATGACAAATGGTGGAAATTAAAATTATTACTAGTCTTCTAAAAATCTTGTTGTGTGATCAGTGTTGGGAAAGTAGATTATTGAAGCCTATAAAAGATGTATATTTGAGTCCTTGGGTTAATAACCATCGTGGTGGTTACGTGCCTTAGCTTCTCTGTACCGAGGAGTGTCTTACCGAGGGAGTAGAAGTCTCCTGTGATTGGTTGTATTTTTCTGTGAGCAAGATTCTTCTTACCTCAGTTACACCTAAAAAGTTTTTTGTATCACATCAAAAAGAGGAAGGAGAGACTTTTAAATTGGTCTGAGATGTTAATGTTAATGCTTGAGGCTTGATATCATAACAACTTTTTTTAAATCTTAAATTCCCTAATTTTTTTTATTTCATAACAGTTTATTTTTACATCATTTTGTACACTTTTTTTTATCTCAATTGTAATCCCCACGGGTTTCCCATCACCAATTCTCCCGTGTGCCATCACCCTAACCCCCTCCATTCATACCCGCCCCCCCCCCCTTTTTGATCCCATTCCCCACTCCACCCCTGCAAAATGTATCTGGTATATGGTTGTTCATTATTTTTGTTATTTTCTCACCTGGTCCATTATACTCCTGCTATGAGTGAGATCATCCGGGTTGTAGTCCAGTTTTTAATTTAACCTTTATGTAGTAAGTGGTGCACTCTGTAGTCAAAAGAATGGTAACAAGTATCTATTTTAATTCCTTTTCTTACATAAACATTTTTTATGAAAAGCCTCTATGGAAATGGTTTGAATTCACTATTTAAGGCTGTTAGCCCCCCAAAGAGAAAGGAGAATAAATTGATAGTAGTTAATCTGAAAGTAACCATCTAATTATGTTGTCAAGGACTAAACAGGTATGGAATGAAATGAAAATTTTTAAATCAGGGAATTTGGTTTATTGAGTGAACACAATACACACACTTGTTTTACATTGTAATGTGCCTGAAAAATGGGGTTTCTAAGTAATGTTAGAATGATGCTTTAGTTCGTTTCAGAGAGTAATTGTAGTAATGGTTTTTCCAATGTTATTTCCAGACTCAAAAATAGAGCTCAAGCTTGAGAAGAGAGAACCACTAAAGGGGAGAGCAAAGACTCCAGTAACACTCAAGCAAAGAAGAATTGAGCACAATCAGGTATCTTGTTTTATGATCACCATGGTGAGGTATAAGTGCTCTCTGCTGGCAGTGCTAATTTGCCTGTGTTTTAGCCTTTGGTGGGTAGTTGAAGAGCACATTCCAGCATTCGATGATGTTAATTTCATGGCATTAGAAATCTTAACTTTATGTGTTTTGTCAGTAATGCACCTGTGATTTACTGCAAAAGCAGTTATCTTGTAAATGTCTTGCTTGTGTTTGATTCTGTGCTAACATGGTTCAAAGCCAGTCTCATTACATTTTTTAAGAGAACTATTTTAAAAAGTAGAAACAGCTAAGCAAGAGAAAGGGTTTTATGTCTGTGTCTTTGCCACCAGACTTCTGATGTACCTGTCTTCTGTGACTGTTTTCATCTCTGGAACTTGTCTGGTCCTAAAACTACACTGTTTTCATTTACTTTGGATGAAAACTGACCTTTTTCATATGAAAAGCAAAAGGCAGTTTTTCCAAAGGAAATCAAGGGAAGAATAAGCAAAAGATTAAATGAACTGGTTTACAGCACACACGTTATTGACTATAACTTATTTGGCTGGCATCTTGCAAGGCAGCTATATTTAGTCATTATCATTTCTCTAGCTGGCAGTTTTGTCTAACTTGTTATCTGTTTACTTAATCTTTTGTCATTTTAAAAGTCATGTATCCTCAAAGAAAGTGTTCTTGGCTGCTTTAAGCCATGTCTCTCTTGGCTTGACATAATTGATTAAGTTGAAATTTCGGAGCTGTTTGGCAGAAATGAGCTTGGTGGCCATGAACAAAATAGCACTGAATGGAAGATTTTGTTTACTATAGATCCAAATAATGGAATAAATATTTTATTGCTTTGTAATCTAGTGTTGCTAGGGACAAACTACAGGGGCATGCTGAGGAATAAGGAAATAACAGAGCAAGAGAAAATCTGGTGAGGAATAAACTTGGGGAAGTTTTGTTCAAAAGTGAAGGCAAGATGGAATAGTGCTAGCAGGAACTCATGACTGGTCAGATCATAGATTAAAAGGAGGGGAGGAGCATGGTTCAGAGGTTAAATATTTGGAGTTGGGGGATCTTAACTGAAGGGCAGAAGAGTCAAGCAGGCAATTCAGGAGGCAATACAGAGAATCCAGACTATGACCTGATAATGTAAAATGTAAAACATAGAAAAAGTAGGAGGAATTTAATCAATCACTTAGTTACAGAGTTTCAACAGTTGTCAACATTTTATTTCATCTTAGCCTGCTTTCTCTAGCTATGTAAGTTCCTTTACTTTTTACTGGAATCTGTTAGAGAAATCTCTGAGACTTTATACATTAAAATATCAGTATTTCAATATATATTTAAGTGACAGCTATTTTATATAATAGGGTTAAAGATAATTTTAAATGATTTGTATATGAGACTATATGGTGGTTTTACATATGTATGAAAAGATAATGCCACTATCACATCTGGTAAAATTAATAATTGCTTCACATCTAATGTAAGTCAAACAAGATCTACATATCATTTGGTTTTGTTTTTTAAATCTTCTACATCTGTAGCTGTTGTGATGGCTCTCTTCCCTCCATTTATTTGGTGGGGAAAAAATATCATTTCTCTGCAGATTTATCCATATTCTGTATTTGGCAGATTATTTGTTCAAGTGACCCTTCCGTACTTTGTATTGGCATGTAGACTCAGTTGAAATTGTAGTAGGGCTATGTAGTAGATCTTTGTGTGACGATGGAAATGAAATCTGCTGTCCATTGTGGTGGCCATTAGCCACATGGTGTATTCAGTACTTGGAAGGTGTCTAATATGGCTGACAAACTAAAATTTTGATTTAACTTAAATAACCACATGTAGTTAGCAGTTACCATATTAGACAACACAGACCTAGAGGGGTTGGTTAGATTCAGTTTCACCTTTTTTGACAAGAATGCTCAGAAACAGTGTTGTGGCCTTCAAATTGTATTATTTTAGGAGGCACATCATATTTTGATGTTGCTAAAATTAACTATTAAGTTTATATGTTGAATTTAGGTTGATGTTGAAAGCCTGATGAATCCATTACGCTGTTTACGATACCATTTTATTAATGATTTTGACAACCGTTGATGATTTATTGCCTAGATCCATTAACTCATTTGTGGTTGTAAGATGGTGATTTTTCTTATTCTCTCATTTCTTTACATCTGACTAGAATTCCTTTTGAAGAACTTTCTCTCATTAACTGCTTAGTTTACCTTTTGAAATAAATTTGTGTAAGATACATGTTTACTTTCCTTGCCTTTTTTTTTAATTGCCAATTTCCAAAAGGTGCTGTTAACTTTGAAAGATAAATCTTTTTACTACTTTTTATTTGATTTGTGATAAATTGCAGTACTAATTTTTGTTTTCGTGTTCAAATTGTGTTTTTAGCCAGTGAGAATTACTATATTGGTTTCTGTGTTCTTTTATTGATCCAAAGACAAATGTGCCCTATATGGCTTCTTGTTTTCTTTTTGCCACCGTAAAACTTATTTTCTGCCTCTTATCAAATCAGGCATTTTCCAGAAGACCCTCCATCCTTTTAATTGAAAATTTTGTTTAGAAGCAATCTAGATGCTAGGGTGTTCATTTCTATGGGATTGCAGTTGCTTCTAGGACTTTTTTTTTATATATAACAGTTTATTTTTACATCATTTTGTACATTTTTTTTTTCCATCTCAGTTGTAATCCCCGCGGGTTTCCCATCACCATGTCACCCGTGTGCCATCACCATAATCCCATGCACCCGTTTTTGATCCCATTCCCCACTCCACCCCCGCAAAATGTCTGTGGTATATAGTGGTTCATTATTTTTGTTATTTTCTCGCCTGGTCCATTATACTCCTGCTATGAGTGAAACCATCCGGTATTTTTCTTTCTCTTTCTGGCTTATC